ACTTACATTTATGGTGACTGGAAACCTCTTATATAGACTTTTTACATAAAATGGAACAAATGCACTTAAGATTGTGGTTTTGATGGCTAGAAAAATGGATAATAGAAAAAGTGAGCTTTCTTTTGTAATCATAGAATAAGAAATAACTTTGCAATTGTTTTTATATTTGCTGCAAAGAGAATTGAAGCTTCTATTTCTTAGTTTCTGTACTTCTGCATTTTCTTTCTTTTTCTTTTCACCCTTTTCTGCTTCTTTTTATTAGTTTGTGTTAGTTTTGATGTTCTTTGTAAAACTTTCAATACAAATTTATATTAAAAGTAGACTATGTTTTGAAAAAAAAAGATGGCTCAAGCTGGTTAGTAACATAACAGAGTGCCTCAGAAGACGGTGAATTTTCTCTTTTTTGATAGACTATTTATTTTACTGATTGTTTGAGAATGTTATATTGTTGTGGAATTTCAGCAGCAATTCTAGAATTTAATGTCAAATAAGTACATGATTTGCCTCTGAGCACTCTTACTAAGAACCTCCTTATGTTTTGCTGGTTTGGGAAGGGACAGATCTTAGTCTTGTGCTCAGGAAGATATTAAGTATGGAAATACTATTGTTTAACTAAAAAGTGAAGAAATTGGAATCAAAAGCACAAAATTAAATTCTGCAGAGAAAGGGTTGATTGCTTCTAATTAGCATCAAAACAAACCAAGAGTAGCCCACACCTCTGAGTTCATTCATAACTAGAAGCCATTGTTAGCCAAGATTTATAAACCATCTTCAAATTATAGCTTGAGTGGTGTATTGATAAAAATAAAGGACAATTTGTTACCAGGGATAAGTTCTGAAGTTTTTTGACAGCACCATTTAGCCAAACAAATCTTGCAAAGTTTATTTTAGAGGTCCCAGTTTAGCTGCTGTCTAAACAAAACAGAATTTTCAGTCTATTGATGTTCCTATATTCTTCATTTTTTTGGTGTATTTCTGTTCCCCTCTCTGTTATTCTTCTCTCATCTGCACTGCCTCTTCTAAATAGAGATTTCTACTTGTTTTAATTTCACAGTTCTTTCGCTTTCCTGTTTGCTGTGCTCTTTAGGGAACTGTACACTGTAGACTATTTGACTTTTTTTCCCAGTGCATAGTACTTCATTGTGAAATAGTTTAAAAATGAACTCTTGAACAAATAAATGGACAAAAGGTGTTTTTACTCATTCAGTAATTAAAATACCCATTTTATTTTATTGCATAAAAATAAACATATGAACAAATATCTGTTACAGGCTTCAGGGTTGCTTCTAGTTCTGAGAGGACAAAATCTTCCAACAGGCATAATGCTAATTATTCCTCTGAATTAAAGGATAACCAACTTCAGTAAACACTGCTTCCTGGTTCCTTTTTTATTGGTTTCCTTTCCCACCTGCCTAAACATTCACTAAGCCCTGCAGCACATTGCATATAGTGATGGTTAACCTTTTTATTGTCGAGTGCCAAAAATGGAAGTGTGTGTGTGCAATAGTCCATGTGTATGCTGGCACCCATAATGCAAAGCATGCCCCCACATGCACACGCATGCGCAATCCCCCCACATTCCTCCCCACGTGCACCACACTATTTGCCAAGCTGAGCTTGGTATTTCCTCCATAGGGCAGGGGAAGGCCGTTTTCACCCTCCCCAGGCTCCAGGAAAGCCTCCAGAGCCCGGGAAGGGCAAAAAACAGGCCCAATGGATCTCCCCAGGGTCCGGAGGCTTTTCTGAAGCCTGGGGAAGGCGAAAACAGTCTCGCCCGCCCCCCTGGAAGGCCGAAAATCAGCTGGAGCTGACAGCTCATGTGCCAGCAGATATGGCTCCAGGTGCCACCTGTGGCATGCATGCCACAGGTTTGCCATCACGGTCTTAGACCATCTTCCAAACCATTAATTTCTTCTCAGAAATCCCTTTCCAGCCCACAAGTCATCACTACTACAGATCAATCTAATCTAATGCTTGGCATGTGGCCAGGAAGTTGTAGCTCTAGAAAAGATTGGAAACAGTTGATGGCTAGCACAGTCCTGAGTGTTTGAAACATTGGAAAAAGAATCAAGTGTGACTGATGTGTGACTACAGTCAGGGAAAGAAAGGATGAGCATGAACAAGAAGGGGCTTTGCTATGGACCTGAAAGAATAATCTGGTTCTAGGACAGACAAAACTGAGGAGCTGAAGCAGCAGGGCAATGGATAATTTTATCCAGAACAGTCAAAATCTGAGAATCACATCTGCAGTACCAAAAGCTGAATTCACAGACTAAGCTTTCCCTAATCTTCCAACAGCAATAGCACTTAGACTTATATACCGCTTCACAGGGCTTTACAGCCCTCTTTAAACATTTTTACAATGTCAGCATATTCCCCCCAACAATCTGGATCCTCATTTTACTGACCTCGAAAGGATGGAAGGCTGAGTCAACCTTGAGCCAGTTAGGATCGAATTGCTGCAAGTAGGCAGAGTTAGCCTGCAGTACTGCATTCTAACCATTGTGCCACTAGGGCTCCACATAATATAAATGGATTGCCAATGTAATTCAGAAGATTAGAATTTCATCCCAAAATAAGCCTATCAGAAGGCTTATTAGATACTTACTATTATGAGCCTTATAAATACAAGTTTCTTATATACATAAAGGAATGAATCTAAATTGTGTGGATTTGTGTACGTAAACAAGAATACAAGGAATGATGGTAGGACAGCTGAAGCCAGCAGGATCTTGAAGCACCAAGAAACTGTCACTCAGATGAGTTTAAAATTAGATAGTTTATACTAAGCCTATGGAACAGAGGGTCTCCAAAATTAAAAGACAACCCTTTTAGG